TATTGGGGGGGGGGTTCTTTTTCATGGGAGGCCCTCGTGGTATAGTAGGTCAAGTGCTGGGCTGCTAACAGAAAGGCTGATCTCTTGGGAGAAAGATCGGCAGTCTCTTCCTATAAAGATATGTTGCTGTGGAAACTTGTTGGAAGACACAATTACAATTGTCTCAAAGACAGTGAATTTAGTTTAGGAGTGGTTTTTTGTTTGTTTGTTTTCTTCACCCAAGAGCGTTGGAACAGAATGGCACTAACTCAAACAAAATGTGTAGTTGTTGTTGTTATTATTATTTTCTTTTAAAAAAGGCAAGATGGCTTGGAACATTCCCAGGGTATCACCATAAGGACTCAGATGAGTTCAGTTTCTGCCCCAACGCTGGATAATAAATCTACAAACAAATCAGAAATGGAAAAGGCCTTGGTTTCCCATCGTGGGAATGTTACATGGGAACGCTGTACATAGCTCACCTGCAGGCCTTCCTAGGAAAGGGGCCTGCTCCTGGCCCTCACCTTCAGTTTACACCATGGGACTGTCAATATGGAAGTAATATAACTTTATTCCCTTAGTGAGTATATTCTTTCCAGCACTATCAACAGTAACTAGAGCCTGAATGGAGGCAGCGGAGAATTCCCATGAAAGAAAGTGAAGAGATATTTTGGGATGAACTCACAAGTGGTCTTGCTGTAGTCCATCTACATAAACATGAACATGCACATACACGTGCATGCGCACACACACTTTTACACACACACACATACACAGGAGTATCTCTGTGTTGTAGACACATAAGGAGCAGTGTACTGCTACTGTTTAATGAGTGAAGCACTAAGTGAGGGGCTATGAAAAATAATGTTCCACACTGGATTAATCACTGACTTGTACGTGAACTCAGGGGATGTTAACTTGATGCTACCTCCCCATCGCCAAAACATTAGGTCAGTTTTGACGAGCCTTCAGTGAATCCAGATGTTTGGCAGCATATGGGAAACAACATCTGGGTGATTGATTGGATTCTCAACTGAGCTCACTGGTTTTGGCAGCATGCCCGCTAGGCCTTTAATGGCACTCGGCCTCAGTTTCTCCAGCTATAAAAATTGACAAACACTATTTCATTACTCACCCTCTGAATGTACAAGAGTAACAATGAGGGATTTTTTTTGGAAAAAAAAATTCGTTCCCGTGTCAAGAGTACATTTTACACAATTCACAGTGGCATATTTTACACCCTTTGACTTTCAGGACCACTTTGAAGTACGATCCTAATACTATACAAATGTAACTCATTATCATCAACATCATCATTCTAACATTTTTCTTTATGACTTCTCAGTTTGAGGTTGAATCATGGCCAAAATAGGAATTTTCTTTGGCCATTTAAAGCAACACAGAAGGGTGGGGGGAAGCAGCAGTGTGGGTGTTTGGAGCCCAATCAAATACAACAGCTCAACTTAAACTGGTCAAACTGGTCTATCAATGAGAATTCGTTGTTTGCTCAATGGTATTTGCAGGAGAACAGAAAAATGTTCCCACACAGGTATTCAGGGGCCAGGGGAAGGTGAAAGGGATTGAAGTGGTGGTTTTTCTGATTCTGACTATTTATACTTCTCTCTCTATGAGCTATCCTTAGAGGCAAGGATTCTGAAGCTGTGTCTGACATACTTTGGGCCTATTGCTAGGAGGGACCAGTTCTTGGGGAGGGACATCATATTTTGAAGGGTGGAGAGACAGTGCAAGAGAGGAAGACCCTTGATGAGATGGATTGACACAATAACTGGGGTGATTGAGTGGGTGTGTCAAGAGACAGTAAGGTTGGTTCAGGATAGGGCAGGTTCAGAGCTACTGTACCTAGGGTCACTATGAGCCACAGGCGACTTGATGGCACACAACAACACATCATCATCTATGAGCTATAGGGAGCTCTGGTGGCCTAGTGTGTGGGATGATGTGCTGTCCCCCCAAAGGCAAGCACCAGTTGCTCCAAGGGTTAAAGATGGGCCACCTTTTTGCGTACACTTTATAGCCTTTGAAAACCTGCTGGAGGATCAGCTATGGTTGGTTCTGATTTGATGATGACAATTAATTGAATTGCTTTGAATCGATGTGTTAGTATTGGTTTTTGTGACTGGAAGTCAGAGGTAAAGAAAAGAAACAAACAATATAGGACAGAAAAGGAACAATTCATGAAAGGTGTTTGCAACCATACAAAACTTGGAGAGTAGAACAGGACTGGCCAAAAGTCCTAGAGTACTGTTCCTTTTCAAACTCAAAGTCCTCCTTATGTAGAAAAATCCTAAATATGATTATAAGACAGTTGTTAGGTGTCTGCCATTATACATAGATATACACATATATACACACACATACATAGATGCACATGTGTGTGTGTGTGTATCTGTGTGTGTGTATATATATATATCATGCAAAATTATACACAACCTTGAGAAGGGACATGATGATGCCTGGAAAGATGGAGAGTCAGCAAAAGAGAAGACTTGCAACGAGATGGATCAATGCACGGCCTGCAGCAATGAGCTCAAGTGTGTCAGAGACGGTGAGGGTGGCACAGGGTAGCACAGGGACCAGGTCTGCTGTTCATAGGGCCACTATGATTCCTACTTGACTTGCAGCAACAATAACAACAATAGAAAATAAGGAACTCTGGTAGCCTAGTGGAGAGGTGCTGCAGTGCCAACTTGAAGGCACATGATCCGAATCCACCAGTTCTGTGTTCTGTGGGAGAAAGCTGGGCAATCTCCTCCCCTACAATTCACTGCCTCTGAAAACGCACTGGAGGGTCAGCTAGGGATTGGTTCCTCCTTGAAGGTACAGAACAACAATATACATTTCTCATCCTTAAACTAAGCTCTCTAGAAGCATCTGCACTTGCTTATCCCATCAGATGCGTAAGCAACCACTACAGAGCTGATGGGCAGCATCAGTCCTGGGATTTTTCACACACGCTTCCTTGTATCCCTACTGCACCACTTTCTAGGCCTGTACTGGCTCCTTCTTTCCCCAAGAAGACTCTGTACAAAGCTGATGAAACTTTTTCCAATCCCCAAAGCTTCTGACAACTCGCTGAGGTTTGCCGACCAAAAAAAAAAAAAAAAACAACCCAAACAAAAACCCAACAACCCGATGACACTATTTCTTGCCAGGATTGGGGTGCGGGGATGAACCCTGAGATTTTGGCTTTTCCGATGTTGGCATCTCACGAGTTAACTGGAGCCAGCCAGAGATGTCTGATTTGAAAGATTGTGGATCCATGCAGTCAATCACTGTCATCGTTCCAAGGCAAAGCAAACGACGCCTTCAGTGAAGCCGTAACACAAACGCGGTGCCTGTTGCCTGAGCTCTGAAGCCCTCGGAAACGCATTCTCAAGCCATCCTGATGTATCTAACCAGGCTTTCCAAAACTTTGTGAGGGCATGTGTGCTGAGTTACAGAAATACTGTGGCGGTCACATGCTCAGCAGCAGCAGTATTTATTAAGTGCTCACAGAGTGTAGAGCGCTTTATTAGGGTACCAGAGTAACTACACCCAAGCACGTTGTAAATACGTTCCCGACGCCATTTCCAGTGAAAGACGCTGCTATTCGAAAGCCCTTCTGAACATTTTCTGAAAACCACAAAAATGTCACTGCTCCATTTGACATGAAAATGTGAACTCAAGCCAACATCTTCATATAGAAAGCTCTGTCCTTACACAAGGACTTCAGTGTTAATAAGAAGCTGTGCTGCAATCCCAAAGGAATGAGGTTTGAATCCACCAGCTGCTCCATGAGGAAGGGATGGGCAATCTCCTGTGCGATTTCTTGCCTCTGAAAAACCCACTTAGAGGGCCAGCTGAATTGGTTCCGACTCAAGAGCACAGAACAACAACAACAACAACAAAAGTGCTTCCTAACCTACAAATCTAAGTCAGTGATAGGAGGGTCCTTCCATGTGTAGGTCAAAGGGCAGGAACAGTATTAAGTGATCCCCTATGCAGAGGCAATTTTTTTTTTCAATTGTTGCCATAATCACCTGCTACAATCCACTTCTACTTTTATTTGTGCTTGAATTACTAAATGCTTCAAGAGAGGGCAAATCTATTAACAGGTCAAGGGATTCAGCTTATGCCCATATGCAAGGTAGCGACCTAGAAGATGTGGAGGGTGCAGTTAGGAGGGCCTCTTCCATCCTGTTTAGCACAGTGAAAATGGAAACATCTCCATGAGGAAGCAGTTTAGAAGCATGTGTCAGGATGTCATATTCTTTGATCTAACAACGCCAACATCTTTATTTTTAAAAGTGATTTATGATCAGGAGAAAGCATGATTCAATGAGGAGTTAAGATATGTTGTTATTGTTGTTATGTATGGTCAATACTGTTGCTATGTACTGCTCTAATTAAGATGGGGGAAATGTTGAAGTCACCTAGATGTCCAGAAAAAATAGATGGATTAAAGGAATGATGATAAATGTTGATGGAATATTATATAGCCATGGAAAAATCATCAATAGGAAGAACTGTTGAAACGTGAAAATGTACTATCACAATTTATATGAATGATTAGGACCCATTTGTACACTCCACTTATATAAAACTTCTGAGTGTATTTTGGGGACAAACACTCAAAAAGACTATGTTGTGTTCCAGTGGGTTTTCAGAGTCAGAACAGTGTTAAGATCTTTTGTTAATAAGGTTGCAATGAGTTGTGCTCGACTCAGTAGCACCTAACAACAGCAAAGTTGCATAGGAAGAGGTTGCCCCTTCTCCCTTGAAGCATCTGGTAGATTCAAACCACATGCCTTTGGCATTTCAGCACAGCTTCTCACCACTCTTTCCCCCTTATTTTTGTAATATTATCATACTCTCTTTACAATTTACAAGTATGATGAAAGACAAGGGTCAGATGGGGAATCTTTGACAAAACAGAATGATGGTTGCCTCTCAAAAATTATGTTGTGAATGCATCATCCTCACGTCTCACAATCCCCACCTTTGTTAGCCACACCACATACCTGGTTAATGTGCTTCAGTTTGTCGATAATTTGACTGACCACTGGCTCAGGGCCCTTCATTTTCAGCTCATGGAGATTGAACTGATTTTTCATCCCATTCCTTGCTGCCTTTTGGCTGTATCTAGAAAGGTAAAAGAAAAGCAAAAGGTTATCCCAAGAGTCCCAAGCATAAAGAAAGTTGACTGTATTTGGCACTGACGATCCAGTTCACCACAATGGGATGGCCATTCCAGATGGGTTCTATTAACTTTATGCAATCTCACTGCACACACTAATATCTAACTTTAATCAAAATTGGAATAATAAGATCTACACCACACTGCAGACTTTTATCACTTGAAATATATATCCTGGAGATAATCCTATGCCAGAAAAAAATCAGAATGGCTTCATTCATATTCTTCAGTATCCCTATAGCATAACATCTTTACATAATTACTTATTGATAGATACCTCAGTAACTTCTACTATTTTGAGAATATAAACAAACAATGCTGCAAAGAACATTCTTTGTACATTTTCTGATTACAACAAATATTCATGAAATAATTGTTACTGTGTTGTTAATATAACAATGATCAAGACTGGTAATATCTCTGCCCTTAATGTGTTCTCATTCTAATGAGGAGTCTACAAGAAGAGCCAATGGTAATGCAGAGTGCTAAGAGCTATGGAGAGTCAGGCCAGCAAAACGCATACAAATATCCTTAACATTATTATGAGAAGCAATGATGTCAGGCTAAAGACTAAAGTGCACCTGATTCAGGCCATGGTCTTCGCAATGACTTGCTATGCATTAGAGAGTTGGACAATAACTAAGGATGACAGAAGAATTGTTATCTTTGAGTTGTGGTGGTCTTGAACATACCATGGACTGCCAAGAAGACAAATAGATCTGTGATGGAGAGGGTGAAATCAAGTTTCTCCTTGGAGGCTAGGATTTTGAAGCTCTGTCTCAAATACTTTGTACATGTGGCCAGGAGGGACCAGTCCTTGGAGAAAGGCATCATGCTTGGAAGGGTGGAGGGACAGTGCAGAAGAGGAAGACCATGGATGAAATGGATTGATACAACAACTAGGGCAATGAGGGTAGGTGTGTCAGAGTCAGTGAGACTGGCTTAGGACAGGGAAGGGTTCAGAGCTGCTGTACATAGGGTCGCTATGAGTCACAGGTGACTCGACAACACATGACAACAACTCATTGGAAGTGAGCTCTTGTGGCTTAGTGGGTATGGAGTTGTGCTACCAACCTAAAGACAAGTGGTTTGAATTTACCAGCTGCACCATGGGAGAAAGATGGGCAATCTCCTCATGTGCAATTTACAGCCTCTAAAAATCCACTGGAGAGTTAGCTATGAGTCATTTCTGACTCGATGGTGGTGCTTGCATTTTGAATAAGAAAGCAAGGCATCAAACCCAATCACAATGGCTTGGACATGGCCCACAGAAACATGGACAGCATATATGCATTCCACAGAGATCAAATCCCTTTTGTTTCAGCAAGATTAAGAAACTGGTAGCGGTTGCTGGTTCAAGGTGGTACTTTGCAGCCCTGGGAGAGAGGATCTTGCATGTTCTTCATTCTCCTACGCCCACCACTTCCTGCAGGCTGTGGGACTAGGTTTCTCTTCGAGATCCTTTCTCAAGCCATTTGCCACATAAATCATGCATATCAGATTCCCTCTGTGTTCTCCATGAGAAGGGAGAACACCAGCTCAAAGAAAGACTGTAATGTGCTCCCCCTAGGCGAAGCCAAAAGTTTTACTTCAGAACTGAAGCTTCAAGCTTCAGGCAACTTTGCTGTCATTGGAAAGTGGTATATGTACAATCCTGGGCAATTTTTCTTTTCAGTATTGGACTTTGCCAGATTTGACGGGGAAGCAACTCAACAAAACATATGGAATTGCTTCATTCTTATTCTTCCATATGGCTCTATCATAATTTATTTAAAATAACCCCTTATTGATAAACAATTTATCAACTTTCACCATTTTGCTAATATAAACAATGGTGTAAAGAACATACTTTTACATTTGCAGATTTGTATCCTGTACACAGATAATTGCAAGTTTGCATGACTCCCTACATAACTATTTATAAAACTGAAATTCCTAGAACTCAGTTCATCTTTATGTGTACTCCAAAATTATGAAATGCAATAGTTACATGATCTTGGCCCATTTCTGTTATTATTTAGACAATTAGAGTAAATTCATATTCATACTTCTAAGTTCTGAAAGGCAAAAGAGAACACAAGCTAAAAAAATAATGCTTCAAACTCATCACTGAGTCAGAACCAACTTATAGCTGACCCTCCAGCATGCTTTCAGAGGCTGTAAATCCTGCAGGCGGAGACTGCCCATCTTTCTCCTAAGGAGCAGCTGGTGTATTTGAACCACCCACCTTTCAATTGGCAGTCCAACTCTCAAACCACTTAGTTCACCAGAGTAATAGAGAACTAACAAACAAAAATGAAAAGCTAACGCTATAGAGTCAGTTCTGACTCATAGCAATTCTTCAAGTGCCCAAGGCTATAAAATGTAATGGGAGGAGAATGCACATCTTTCCCTTGCCTGTATGGCTGGTAGACTGAAATCGCCAACCCTTCAGTTTATGGACAAATATATTACTCACTATACAACCATGGTTTCTTATAGAACATATACTACCCTATTTTTGTACAGCACCTCACAATGTGATCTTGTATGGCCTTGAGCTTTGCCAACACACTGTGAGTGAGATACAGTCAACTTATTTACTTTTTTTCTGACAGAATAGTTCACAACTTCGGAAGACACTGATCTGGTTTTTTGAGATATCCACTTTCACCTAGGATGTGCTCTGGAAAACAAGTACGGCAGCAGATGAGGTTAGCTGACCTAGCTGCTGAATGTCATCATGTCTAGTCATCCCTAGAGAAGACAAACCTTTTCAAGTAAGAAAGCTGAAGAGTAGTGCCTCTTCTTAGTGCCTTTCTTCTCAAGTGGTACGTAGTGCAACACATTCATAAATCAATCCCTGAGGAGTATTATTCAATCATAAAGTGAAGTGGAATTCAAATACACACACACTTGAAAACAGTGAAAGAAGCTGAGCATAAAGGGACACACTGTATGATCTCACTTGCATGCAATCTCTGGAATAGACCAAGGAACAGAGTCGGAAGTTGATGAGTGGTTCCAAGGGGTGGGAGGGAGGCGGAAGAGGAAGTCATTCTTGAGGGGGCACAGAGTTTCTGCTGAGGGACAGGTGGGAAGGAGAAGGAAAGGGGGAGTAAGCAAGCAGGCAGATTCTGTTTACAGTTATGGAAAATTTGGCAACAGAGAGTAGCAATGGTGACACAACATGAAAGATGTAATTGATGGCACCAAACTCTACATGTGAAAAATATTGAACTGACAACTGTTATCTTGGCTATAGGATCCTCAATGGGAGGGACTGACAGAGTGGCTGCAACCATGGGTTCCAACAATGGGCAAAGCAAACTGTGAGGATGACACAAGACCGGGCTGTGTTTTGCTCCATTAAGTACGGATGCTAGCAGTTGGAAGTGCCTCACAGCGTATATATTCAGAATAAAACTATATAAGGGAAAATTAATTGGTGGATAGCCAGCTAGCTAGATCCCCAACGAACCACCACCTACTAGTGGACTTGGAGCGGATTTCAAGAAATAGTCTTTTTTTTTTGGTGGGAATTTCAGTTCAGATCCAGTTGTCTCTTTAAACAGTGCGACTTTCTGATGATACACTCTCTCTCTAGCTCTTGTTCCTCAACTCCCACTGATGCCAGAAACAGAGATCTAGCCACAGCTAAGGCCTTTTTTAAACCTTCTGACATGAACTTCAGGAATTTGTCCCTTAGAGATATGCCCTTGGATTTGCTCATATCAAAGCTCGCCGACCATTTGTGATGCCCACTCCTGCAAAACAGTTTCCTGAAGCTCATTATCCTCATTAGAAGCGCATAAAGGCATCACCCAAGGAAGCAATTTAGCCCTACATGCCCTCTTCCATAATTCTTTCTCAAAATGAAATTAAGTTAGGTCCACAGTGGACCCCTGTGCCCCCACCCTGACTATTTTCTTGCTGTTCATAAAAGTGCCCCTTTAACTCTCCTCTTTGCTCCTTATCTCCACGCCACGGACAAAAACACTGCTTCCCAATCTCCTGATGACTCCATTTTTCTGAAAACCGTTTTGGGTTTAAAAGCTTGAAAGCTTTTTGAAAGTGTCGAAATAACATCCACTGTTCTCCTCTAGCCTCATGCTATTTAAACCCTCAAAGAACTCTAGTAAATGAAGCATGGTTTCTGGCTATAGCAGTGTTGGGGAAGAGCTGGCTTGTGGCTGAGACTCAAAACTTGCCTTCATTTTATTTACTCCACAAAGCAGAAACCCCAAGTTCTCACCCGATTTCTGACTCTAGTGCCTACGTTATAGTGGCAGTATTTGATAACTTTCCATGCTCTTTGTATTATCCTTTTAAGCATCAGGAGACCTCTACTTTAAACCTCGTCTGTTTGTCTGTGATCTCTCTGTTTTCACTTAATAAGTGCCTCCAGGTTGCCATCAACTCATGGCAATACCATGTATGTCAGAGCAGAACTGCACTCCATAAGGTTTTCTATGGCTGAGCCAGTGAACTCAAAAGCACGTAACACCAATATACGCTTGAATGAGGTGAACCCCAAACGGCCTATTTCAAAAGGACTGTCCATCAGAGTTGTGACTATGAATATTTATTGTAACTAGTACTTTCTCTCAAAATAAAAGCAGAGTTCTGTTCTCACTCACCTCTTAATGCTGACCCTTAAAATACTTTCCCCCCCCTTTTTTATATTATTAAATTTTATTAGTTTTAATGAACATTTACAGGGATTTTGGGTTTCCATTCCTTCACTGCTGCAC